AATATATCTTACCTCAAATGCTTTCTTGGCTATTAGTTCTAAAACCTTTCCTTCACGAAGTTTTTTGTTATATCCTTCAATTCGTAAATAAGTTGCTAATGTCAATAATCTCTGTCGACTTTTATAAGCGTCTCTTTGATTATTTAAACAATGTTCAATTAAGGTTAGCTTATCTACTGTTAATCTAACTTGAAGAGGTAATATATCAACATTGAATTCATTCAAAATTTGAAGCGATTTAATTAGATCATATTCTTCTTTAATTTTGATATTGTCATCTTCAATAAGACGAAGGCAAGTTCTATAACAATTATTTATGTATTCATAATATTTAAAAGTAAATTATATAATTTTATATATGTTGTATGTTTGCATGCATGTGTGTGCGTGTGCTACATTAGCGAGAGATACTTACTTAGCCAATTCCATATTTGGATCAATAAGTGTTCTTGAACTGTTAAAATATTCTTTGGTTGCTTCCAATATAAGATCAATTGCTTTCTCATAGGATACTTTTAGCATAGATTTCTCGTCTTTCTCGGTTTCTATCAAGGTGGCACAATTTTGAATGGTAGACTTGATTTTTGAAACTAAACGGGCAGAAACACATATTTCAAAACAGATTTCAGCAACAACACAGGAAAAAATTGATCCATGTATTTCCAACATATCGCTTAATAATTGCGCCCATTCATTTTCATCTGGAGGTGGCAAACTGAAATAATGAATATATTATTTAATTGCTTTAATTATCATAAAAATATTTTAAAACTGTAAAAAATTATATGGTTTGTGAGGATATTTTATGTTGAGTCGGCAAGTGCCGCAATATATCATTCAAAGTCTGTATAATCTTGCTTAGATTTTTTTAAAAACAAACTAATTTTTATTTTATTCATTTTTATATATTTTGCATACCTTTTACTAAAGCTTCTTGCCATTTGATTTAATAATAATCTAGCGATGTCGGGATTATTTTTATTCTTTTGTATGAATTTTAACGTTGTTTTCACACCATATTTGTTTAGACATCTAATGCAATCAAGTTCTTCTTCAGATTCTTCTAATAAATTGTACATTGCATTTGTCCTTTTACCATTATGATCTTTCGATATCGAATCTAAGATATTTTTAGCTTTTTCATACATATCAAGATCGTCACAACTATATATACAATCTAAAGCTAAAGTAGTAACATCATCTATCATTTCGATTATCTCAGTATCCTGTGTCTGTTTTAAATATTCGAAAAATTTAACTGGTAACATCAAATCGTCTTTGCTTAAACAAATTAGATAATCACTCAGTAAATGTTTTTCAAGATCTTCATCCTACAATTTGAAATAATATCATTATATATACATATATATAATTTTTAATTATTTATGAAATATGATTATACATACATATAAATATTGATGTCTTCGTTTAATGAAAGGCAACAAAAATTTCTTTATGTTTTCCACAAAATTAATTTCAGTCGATGTACTCATCAAGAGTTTTATTCTCTCAATGTTATTTAATTTCTCTAGTTTGTCTAATGACATATCCTCTAGATAAATATTATACACAAGATCACTTAAAGTTTTCAAATTTAATAATAAATCTTCTACACCATTAATATTATGAGATTTTGCAATTTCAATTAATTGCAAAGCATTATCTACTAAAGCACTATTTTTTTCAATTTCATAAGCACGTGTTTTATACCACTTTTGTAATAAGTCTAGTGTAAGTTGTGTATTTCTAAAAATAAAACAAAGACAATTAAATAATATATCATTACAATAAATGCAAATAATCTTATATAACAAAACCTTTACCGATATATTAGTAAAGATGGATCTAATTCATACAACATTTCTGATCCATCATCTGTATTCTCATTTATTATTTCATTAAACTCATATTTTTCTGACCAATCTTTTTGTCGTAGTTCACGTTGATCTAACAAAAATAATTGACCTTCTAAGTCACATTCTGGTAGAAGTTTCTGATAGTCTAATGTATTTAGAGTTTCTGGGAAAAAGCTAATAATTGCCAGCCAATGAGGCAGCAAACTTTTTCCATAATAGGTAAACATAATTTCGACACTTCGGAAATCGCAGTCTTTGGCGAATCTGTATTTAAAAAAAAAATATGTATGTATAATTAGATAAAACTATATATTTCACAAATTAGTGAAAAAGTATGTGAATATATTTATACCTAATTGCATTTTCAACAGCTGATAATCTTCGAAATTCCTCATAAAATTCTTTCTTATATTTAAGTGATGACTCCAATATAATTTCATATATGAGCAATTTATCTAAATAACTTAAAAGCTTCCTTCGATATCTAATTAAATCATTCTGGGCCTCAGATAAATTTTTTATATCTATTTTTTCAAGCATCTCATTTACTTTCTGCACCTATTAAATTTTTTCCAAATAAAATGTTAATTTACATAGGTGTTCTTCTTGAAATTACTATGCATTTTGTAAAATTTATTATCTTTTACTCACCTGTCTTAAATTTACAGTGCTTTCCTCTAGTGCTTGCCAATCGTCTTCTATATCGGGAGTTACAATTTTATCATTGTCGCAAATATCGATAGCTATTAAAGTCTCTAAATTTGCAGCTTTCAATCCGAAATTCAATAGTTCTCTTGCAGCTTCCATAGTATCAGGGACACGTACCACACATTCGTTTAAAACCCAAGATCTTTTACTTATTTTACTTAAATGTTCTGCAATGGCATTCAAGGATAATTCCGATTTTCTCCATTGTGTTTGATATACAAGATCTGTGTCCAAATTGTATATGTTTGCTAAAGCTAAAGCTTCTTCATATTCCTAAAATATATATAATTTCGTTATATATTTAGTTATATTTAAATAGATATTTATATAGAAATCTGCATTAAATAATTGAGTTTAATCAAATTATGTATACACCTCAATATCTATCTTTCTAGAATAAAGCTCTTCTGGGGTCGTACTCTTTACACCCAAAATTCGATAAGTTTGATGCAATACTTTCAACTTCCTTCTTTTCGGTTGAAATCTTTCAATATCAGTTATTGAATATAATGTACTTTGTAGCAAATTCGTAGTATAATTTAATATAGTAACAGGTTTCAATTCATCATCGTCCTTCTCGCTTTCTGATGATGCTTCTTTATTGTAACATAAAACAAATTTGCTTTTATATTTTCTATATTCATATAATAATTTTTGTATTTTTAATATAAGAATATTTAATAGTAGATTTTAGTTAATAAATTATATCATTTCAATAACAGAGGATAATGTTATTGCATAAACAGAAAGAGAAATAACAAAGATATACAAAATAAACAAACCTAATAAATGGCCATCGTTGGATTCTCTACTTCGTTTTTTACTTGTAATAAAAGTTTCACAATCTAAACATAAAAATCCTTTCTCTGAACCAAGTTCGCATACTTGTGGTTGTCCTGCCAAAAACTCCGGACTAATACCTAATAATAAATTTTTTAAATTCCAAGTGGAGCAGACTGAAGTTGATCCCGAATATCGAGCTATTATGATAGCCTTAGAAAAAAATATATATTTTATAAAAAGATATATTTATATAGAATGTATATATATTATATTTATCAAACTTAATTCTTTATTCTTTAAAAAATACTTATATAAATCGTATATTATCGTATTGTACATAAATAAAATATGTTACCTGATCAGACCACCATCCAATATCTATTGGATGAAATTCTGTAAATCCTGGTGGAAATTTTTTAGACTTTGTAAGTCCCAAAGGATTAGGTATATTATATTCTGGCTGCTCAGATAATTTCCACTTTTTTTGTAATATTAAATTTGGCAAACCCCACAGTGAGACTGAGCCATCCGTATGCAAGCATACCAGAAAATCGCCATTTGGTGAAATTTTTATTGTAAATATATATGATTCTGGTTGAAAGCTAAAGATGGGAATTATATTCCATATAGAAAAGCGTGAGCTGCTGGTAGCAGAATTTTCAAATGTAAATGATAATTTAAAGTATGGATAATCATCCAAGAGTCGCCACGAAGTCAGTCCAGATTCAGATGCAGTAGACTGAAAAAAAATGTATAAGTACATCTCTCTCTTGCAACCTCTCTTTCTCTGCAAAATTGTATATAATCATGTATATATAAAAAATAATTTATAGATATATTTACCATTAATTTTTGCGTTATCATATTTCCAGCGACATAAAACAAGTTGTGCTTTTCATCATAGGCAACCGTATTAATACCGTTTTTGTAAAAATTCCCAAAAGAGAAATCATAATTTATACTAAAACCATTTGTCGAAATGTGATAGGATCTGAGAAGCCCACTATATGAAATTAAAATAAATTCATAAGTCCATTTCTCATTCTTTATTCTTGGCTTAAGAAATAGCATAGATGCTATTGCATCACCAGCTTCAAGAATCTGAGGATTTTGTGAAATTGTTTTTGGACTTATATTGAAGATGTTATTTCCCAATGCATTGTAAAAAGACGTATAACCACTACTTGATGCTAATACTAAGATCATTCCATCGGGACTCCATGCAATTTTACGCCATTGAGGGAAAGCATCTTTTGGAGCTAAAAAATTAAATCATTTTATTCATAAGTGACACAACTAAAAAAATAACATAGCTACTAAAAAAAAAGAATACATATTTGTTAGGGAACATTATAAATACATTGATAATATTATCATGTTATTTACCAGATGCCTTGCCTACTACAGAGGAATATTCATCTTTCGCTTTTCGTATCTCAATAACATTCTCCTGTAAAATAGCAAGTACACGACCATGATCTCCAACAGCAAATTTCCATGGTAAGGTAAGACTAACTTGCAGCGAGATGCTTTCAGGTAAAGAATACCTATTGTTAAGATATCTGAGAGCATTTTTTATTGTGCCAGTAGCTGGGAGAATAGCTGCATCATTCTTACACTTCTAAAAAAAATATAAAATATTTTAAATATATAGCTATATATATATTTATGATAATATATTTTTTGATGTATGATGTATCTGCACATATTGAATTTCTACTCACTATTAATTCTGGTTCTTGTTTGCGAACAAAATATTCTAATAATTCGTACAATATAGGCTCGTTTGACGTTTCATTGAAATTGCTCATCTTGTTACCATAAACATAATCTATATGATTAAAAACGCACAATAAATTCACACATTGAACGATTTAGTGGCTCTATATCTACATCTATATAAAGTCTGTTCGTTTTACTTGCACTTTCTACACTCAGGATCTTCCTTTCTTTGCGCTCTCAAACGATCAAATGTCAAATATATATCCCTCTCGTTTCAAGTGCAGAAATTTCCGGAGGTTGCAAGCAAAATAACAATCTATATATGCATATATGTATGATGTATATATATGTACATACATATATATAAATCCATGTGCGAGATAAGGTGGAAATGAATGATAGCATGTAGCATATCCACGATCCACGATAGTATTTCACATAGTTTGACATGTATGTATATATATGAATCGATATATTTATATACGTATAATTAAAATATTATATGTGATTGATATGATTAAATACAATCCGAATCTCTCATGAAAAATTAATATTAATAAATAATCTTCATTTGAAGATTACTTTGAGAACAATTATCAATAATATTGCGTGT